CTGCTGTGAGTGTTACATATTTACTTTAATTTAAATTGTGAATTGTGCATCTATATGATGAAAAGTGGACGTTTTCTATTTATATCATCATAAGCATTATTAAACACAAGATCCAAACTCTTTGTTTGACTGGGAATTTTCATCCCTTTCTGATCTTGACGATATTGAAAACCGTGAAGAATAAGAAACTGTCGTAGATACCACTAGAAAATAGAGATGATTAGCAAAAGAATGTTGGAAAAGCAACCCATCCATTACTAATAATTTACAATCTATTGGATGCGTGAATTTGACTTCGCCCTTCGAGCGAGTAGGGTGTTGGCTAGAATTGTGGCTTTTCCATCTTATCCTGTTTTAATATAAAGGGCACAGAAGATAGTTTCTTGATAATATTGCTAAACTCTTCAATACGATGAACAGTAGATGAGTTACGATATTCAAAGCCGAATGCAATAAGCAAAGTCGTCGAATCATTGGCATCAATTATAACTATGAATATCCATAGCGGAACTATTTGAGAAATGGGCGTCATGTATCATACATCATAACACATTAGATTTGCCTTCAAGAATTATACCAAAGTGAATCCTGATCCTGATAATTCAAGCGAAATACGAATCTTTATTCTAACAAAGATTTTGCTCTTGCTGACATTCATATATACGCGTCAGAAATTCCATGAGCAAAGGCTCAGAACGGCCATGTCCGTTTAACGTTAGGTTCTATAGGATCGTGTAAAAATATCCTTAGTTTATGAATGTAGATCAAATTTTAAAATGGGCTTGATTAAGCCATAACAAAGGCATCTTCAAAACCTACAGCACTGTTTTGAACTATACGACTATATGAAGACACTCCAACACAAGCCTGGATCTTATCATTCGCCGCCTTAGGGATCTTAAGGTGCCTTGGCGGTCGGAGTACATGATAAGCCGCATTGCCTTCTTAAGCATTCACTTATGCTTGGAATATGGAGGAACTATATCCCATTGGCACGGCCTTCTGGAAAGTCGGGCCGCAAATCCCAGCCACAGTTTTGACATATTCCAATTTGGAATCGACGGTGTACCATTTTCTTGATACCTCCCTGGGTTCAAAAGCTTGCCCTTCCCAACCCGATCTCGGCGGTAGGGTCTCCCTGAACCGGTACTAGCTTTATAGCACAATGGTCCGTTGCGAATGCTATACATTCAGTATATTTTCTATAAGTTTTTTCATCTATTTAGAGTTTTATGTTAATTGCTGGGTTAGGTATTAGTGTCAAATATACAAAAGTTGGTTTTCGGTTTTTTTTTTATGTCTAATGTTGTCGAGCAAACAATTTGCTTAAAAGTTTATTTGCGGACAATATTACAGGTGGCTTTTGATAATAAGGCTATGTTGTAAGCAGAGTCTTCAAAGAAGATCGAGAACTATTTCAAGACGAATAGCATCCCGGGCGATCAGCAACCAACATCTTCCGACGAAAGCCACGTTAAAAATGTTTTGTACAAAGTACTGAATTTTTGTAAAGAAACTTCGAGAATAATCCACCAAAAGCTCGGTCCACATCGGTTCCATAATCGGGATAACTTGATTCTAAAACATAAAAAGATAATACCGGACAGACATCACTTTAAATCAATAAAGAAAATAAAAGTGGAATCGAAAAATATCCCGGAAAAATACTTAAGCATTGTCATAAGTGCGTTATGTCGAACTTGGTGGGGAGAGTACGAAACTAATTTGAGAGAATAACTCAAGATTTTTTGTTTTATAAACAAATTCACCCTATTTTTTGATCATTGTATTAATGTACTTAATATTGTATTTGAAAACAAATATTAAATATAGCATAGGAATGTAGAGTAAATTAAAGCGAAGCAAAGATTTCTCGGAAATTTTTTTATTAATGAAATTTTATGAGAAGAAGTTAGAGGAGAGCCTCAGCTGGAAAACTAAGGTCTTTGCGGATTTCTCCGTATCAATACTAAGCAAATATCTAAATAATTTATTGGAAATAAGTCAACGCTACATGGATCATAAATTCTGGTCATAATGTTTTCTATCGTTTCTTACTATAAGCAAACAATGGAGAAGTGTTCCTTATGTTTATGGATTGCAAGCATAATAAACGCGTTCAGCATATAAATATCGAGAAGATAAATTTTTTTATTAATGATAGAAAACATGAGAAACGAGATTCCTCTATGATGATTCATCTTAAATTAACATTAAATAATTAAGCTTTTTTTTCCGTATAATCAACATATTCATGAATACATAAATAGAAATACTCTTGCGAATTATATGATAAACGTTAAGATTCTAAATAAGAATGAGATGAGTTTGCTTGTTTGTGTGACAGAAATCTATTAGAACATACGCATAATTCTTAAGATATATCGTGCGAGGAATACTGTACACATATCTTGTGTGAAGCTATTCTTTAAAAAGATGTGATTCTATTTTGTATAAATAAATCAAATGACGAGAGAATTTGCGAGAAAAGTCAATAAAAATTTCAATCACGAAAAATTTCTAAATAAAAGATAAACACTCGAAACAGCTCTTCGTTTCAGTCAGCGTTGCTGCGTGTCAGCATAGATTAACTAAAATCTTCATTTGACTAAAATCAGTAGCAATAGATCAGTCAGATCAATCAGAATGAAAGAAAGTCATTGTCAAGATCAGTTTGCGAAAAACGTATGTTTCATAGATCCCTATATAGTACTTGCCATCACTTATTTAGCCGTATGTGAAAGGTCAAAAGCAATCGATCACGTTCGGAGTAGATTCAATAAAATATTGATTTAACTGAAATCAATAGCAACAGATCAGTCAGATCAATCAGAACGAAAGAAAGTCATTGTCAAGATCAGTTTGCGAAAAACGTATGTCTCATTGATCCCTATATATAATAGTACTTGCCATCATATCCTTAGCGGTAAGTGGAGGGACAAAAACGATCGATCGCGTTCGGAATGGATTGAATAAAATATTCAGTTGATTGAAATTAGTAGTAATTGGTCAAACAGAATGTAAGAATCGATTTCCGATTAGATTCAATAAAATATTTATTTAACTGAGATCAGTAGCAATAGATCAGTCAGATCAATCAGAATGAAAGAAAGTCATTGTCAAGATCAGTTTCCGGAAAATGTATGTTTCATTGATCCCTGTATAGTACTTGCCATCATGTCCTTGGCGATGTGTGGAGGGACAAAAACAATGGAGATGTTTGTCAAAATTTCACTACAGTCTAGTAATTTATCAAATCAGGAAATTTTCATCCTAAGACAAAGAATGAATCTTTATCATATCTGGTTGATAAATAAAAAACTTGTACTCACGCATACTGGCTGTCTCAGCTTAAAAAGTAGATCATTATTTACAATTTAAACCGAATAATAGAAATGTAACACACTTTCACACACCCTCGAATTGTTGCGTCATTGAATTTTTTCCCTTCCCCTTGGCACACGTCTTGAACATGGTTTTTGAATCCATTAACGAACGATGCCCACAAAGCGTACACATTTAGGATGTACTTCACTTCACTTTATTTCACTTTTTTGAGTTTTTATGCTTATTTATCATAAGGAAAAGAAGACAGAATGCTTAAAACTGCTTTGCACGTTCCTCAAGTGAAAGGATATTATCTGTCTAAAAATGGGTGAATTCTAAAAGGAATATGATAGAAACCGTGGTATGGCGGATTAATTTTTTCCTACCAACAATACTAGCGTTATGGGTGTCAAATAAAAGAAGTTGGAGACTAGAATGCAAAAATGCATAGTAATGGGTATGCAAGGTTCGCCCTCCCCCCCTGTGAATATAACTTTCTGACTTGTTGAATCGGTCAAATGATTATCCGTTTACTCATCACCTAACAATTACAAAAATAAGCGGTCACGAGAATCGATGCATAAATACTATACGAATGCATGCGAAACTTGCTTGAGATGATCGAAAAGATATATGTTTGAGTTTTTCATGCAATCTGTAAAACATATTCATAAGAATAGTAGCAAACCAGATTCTTTAAAAAGCTGTATTTAACATAATTAGTTTAGAGTTTCTTTACTTATTGTGCGGCTGCATGCGGTTACCATTTTCAAAAGTCGTCATCTTGCTTCCTTCTCTATATTTGATTGATAGACATATTTTTCACATAATTATAACAAGTACCTATGAAAGATAAATAGCCCAATGTAACAATAAAGCCCGCGAGGCGCGTGTGGATCATTATAATCTACAATTAGCTATTGTTCCATTCCTTTATGTTTTAAAAACAAAAAACATATGTCTTTAACATATATATATATATGTAGTTAAGTATGTGTAGACTACAATCAAGTGACTGGCTGCACAATAGCGCCTTAATCGTGACAGGTCTGTTGCCGTTAATGAATCTTTCGTTTATTTATAATATCACTCAAAAAAAAAAAAAAAAAAAAAATTTTTTCTACTTATGTTATATCTCACTCGTCTAGATAATTTTTATTAAATTCGATTTATGATTGTACTGAGCGGGTGTGTACTGAGAGAAATGAGAAAGTCCCGTCTGTTTACGCGTTGGTGTTTTATATATGTATTTCTCAAGGGGGTGTTGGCAAGAAGAGTAAGAAACAAAAGTCCTATTGCTTTTGTTTGTCTTAAACTGAGAAAAATCAACAAAAATTTTTATCAGTTTCGTTTCGAAAGCGCTAACAGATAAAACCAAATCACAAGATACGTGTATAATTAGTTGAAAAAAAAAAAAAAAAAAATAGAAAAAAACAATTTCGTTTTAAAGGAATAATATCCTAAAATTAATTTAAGATCGATATTTGCCATTTTCTATAAAATCTGATCCAATTTTTGTTGTTTTTTTTTTTTTGTTTTGTTTTATATAACTTTTTAAAGTTTTGCAACTTTGTGTGTGTAAACAAGTTTTATCAAAATAAATTTTATACTAATGTTTTCTTTAATGTTTAATAAAAAATTAAAATCCAACACATCATCATCGTCTGTAACAGATCGCGTTGCTGAATATTCGGATGAAGATGAAGAAGGTGAATTTAGCTCTGGCGAATTTAATGATGAAACTAATGAACTCGGAATTACGGGCTACGATGCGAAACGTGATTATAATCCAGCCAAGCATGATGTCCGCAAGTATCGTAAGTTGCAACGATCGGAAGTAGAAGATGTTGCATTAGGACCTAACAATCCGGTGGATAGCGATAGTGAATTCGAGATTAAAGATAAAAGTTCATCGCGGGCTAAAATAAGTAGAGTAAGTGTTCTTTCATATTATTATTTACATTTTACATCCCATTTTCCAAACCCACTTTTAAATACTTACCAAAGGAAGAGGACAATTTTTCTTGACCCTTTAAAAGTCAAATTCAAATTTTACAAACAAATTTTAATACATAATAGTGATCCGAATAAGTTTTATACGAACCAATGCAATTTAAAATCCTTCGATTAGATCAAGCGATCGATTTTTCAATCAATATAATGCTCTAGATTAGAATAAAAATTCAAATACACTTTCCGTTCCTTAATTTTTCATATAAAAAGTCTTTGCGGTTTTTTCCACGGTTTCGAGCTCCTTTCTTTACAAATCATTTCAAACTGTCATGTGATTAATGTTTAGTGCCTCCCCTATCTCTGACAGCTTACGTGTCGGTCTAGCTCGGTCAGTTGCAAAATTTTAGGTGGAACGGAATCGAGCAAAGCACTCCTGGTAACTTTCGTTCTCTCACAACAGTCTCGCCGTACACTTCACAAATTTTTCGCCATGTTTTTCCTTGTTTAACCTTTTTTGTAGCAAAAAAATATCACATGGGGTATATGTTCAGATATTTATCTCATTTTCAAATCAATATAACTTTTTAGACGAGCAAAGAATTAGAAAAGTATCTTCAAAAAAAAAAAAAAAAAAAAAATGTAAGCTGAAATGTCACCTTTTAAGCCCATGTTCGTTTGAGCCAATCAGGTGAATGTTGCCCGATATGTAGGCATCAGCATCATTCCGTGCAAAAAAAAACGCGAAGACTTTTTATATGACCTAATATAAGTGTATTGCGCCAAAAATCGATTATCTTTTGTCATTACTCTTGGTAAAAGCCTTGTTCGACTACTGGAAAGGTTACTTCTTCTACTTCGTTAAGAGAGTTCTTCAAAGAGCGAAACAAATGGTAATTGAAACGAGTAAAATCCTCGACTATGTAATAGATGCATCAAAACTAACCATCCTAGATAGCTTTCTTAATTGAAGTCGATCATTATCATGATAGAAGATGGAAGTATTTTTGTTGTCGTCGATTTATTGCTGCCTCAGTTGCACCTAGTGATCGTTCGCTTTTCTATCTCACCAAAAACAAGGCATTATATGGACGCTTCACTTGTCAAATCGATTTACTCCATAAAACAAGAAGTTGAGAAAAATGATAAAATAAATTATTTATTATTCAGCGGTCAAAACGATTTTGTCAGTTAGAAGCTAATGAAGTGCTTTGATATTAAAATTTAATAAAATTCCAAAAATGGAAGTGAAGCATCCATACTACGTGACTTCAGTCTATATATGCCGTCGTTTGCGCATGCGCTTCTCGCATATTATTGTCGTATGTGACTCGGCTTTCATCGTCCAGTATCAATCTGTTTAAATAAAAATGTTTCGGTTTCGTTTTCTTTCATATATCATTTTCAACTCATATGAAGTTTTTTCTTTATTCTCCCCCTATAAAAATGGTTTAAGACAAGTTTTTAGTCAATGTTTACTAGCACAGCAATGCCATATATAGTACAATATACCGGTTGTAAATCAATATTTTGAAGAATTTCTCTGACATCGCCTTGATCGACAACGATTGATCGATCAGAGCGCAATTATTGTGTTATTCATTTTAATAAAGCATTCGTAGCATAAATGTCAAGCATTTTTATTGTCGTGATAGATATAAATATAAGTTAAGCGATTTTTTTCCGATTTATGACGAAATTTTAAAACGTAGCTAATCAACTGGCCTGGATTAAAACATTATTATTATTATTATTATAAATTTAGTCAGAGAATAAATTCTAAGACTAAAGTCTTAAAGCAATAGCATCTAAAAGCTTTCAGCTTTATAAAAAACTCTACCGCACTTGAGATTTGAACCCACGACCATTGAGTTGCTAGTCGAGACTCTTGCCTACTCGGCCACTCGGGCGGATAATTTATTATTTTAATTACTCACTGACTGCTATTTCCTAGGATAGCTTGATAGGATTAATATACGCAAAGTTAGGGGAAGCTTAAGTCGCTTCTTCAGAAAACCATTACGAAGTTTATTATCAAGTTCGATTGAATCTAAAAAAGTTCTTAGACACCTAGATTGAAAGTTGTGAGAATTTCAATCGACCCATGATACGGGGACTTTTGTTCTCTACTTGAGTTGTATAATGTTTTAGATAAAAATCTCCCCCGAGATGTAAGTCTTCAGCAATCACTGACGATGTTTGGAAATATATAAAATTTTCATCCCTATCAAAATCAAATAACGTATCCTCAAGCAAATGCAACGTTTCCCTAAGCACCTTTAGATCGAATCTTAGATACCCCTCTCATCTAACAGCTCTAGTACGTAAAAGTTGCAAAGTTTAAAAGGACACCTTTAGAGATGAAGTTGAGAAATGTTTGCAGAAAATTTTCGATCGGCGTCCGGTAAAAATGCTATCAGCTATTGGTAACCTTTCTGTTGGAGACCTCTGACTTGTGAACAAATCATCTCGATTTCAATTCAACTTCAAAGTTGACATTCAATGGATTAACTTTTCATGAGTAACAAAAAGAAAAAAAAAAGGAGAAAAAAAACTAGTATTTGCTTATCATACCGTGTTCCATAACATCCAGCGTATTTGAATTATCTGAATATTTCAAGTTTCTTTCTAATTTGTATGAGAATATGAACTGTTTTTTTTTTTTTTTTTTTTTTTTTTAAGCTTCTGTTTACATTTACATAAACTTTTTATTGGCATTAAAAAAACAAAAAAAAAAAAAAAAACTACATCATATAAAACAAAGGCATTAAATAAAATCATGAAAGGGAGAAAGTGTATGTTGCGCATATTAAATTATATTAAAGCGATTTTGGCTATGACGTCTATATCTGGGCACGAGTCTGCTTATGTATAGAATATAATAATGTATTATTCGCGATATACATAAAATTTAGATAACAGGTGTATAAATAATAATTACGTAGTATATTGTACATGCTTTTAAACCTCTTATATTCATATATATATATATATATATATTAATTAATTTGATTATTATTTTTAGACTATATCCTTGCAACAGCGAAACTTTAAGCAGAAAATCTTTGCTTTGCTTAAACGTTTTAAAGCCACTGAGGAATTGGAAGGTGAAGTGAATCGTAGCACGGCCGCTTTAAGAGGGGAACGAGATTTAGATGCTTTATTTCAAGAACTTGAATCTCTGTCGTGTTGTGAGGGCGACGATTCCGGTCCAGATATAGATAGTTTATCAATTGGTTCGACACCTAAACCGTCTCTTAGGCCGTTTTTCACGAATTCACGTATCATGCTACATGACATTGGTGCAGGTGGTGGTAAGTAAAAAAAAAAAAAAAAAAAAATTTATTTCATTTGGATTTATTAATTTTTTATTTGCCGCCTCTGAAAGTAAAACTCATTAAAATTTTTTTTAATAATATTATAACCTCCTTGAGCATTTTTGTTGTTATAAATTTTCATATAGCTTAAGTTTTTTTGTTAATGTTGTTGCAATGTTTTCATATCCAACAAAGGTAGTGTACTCGTAAGTTTATCACTTATTATATAATACGTAAATAGATCGATCGGAGACCTTGCAAACTATAGACATTTTGAAGGGATCCGCTTACGGTCTAGGTTTCTCACACGAAATCCGCTTGTAATCAACCATCTTTAGAAGTCCAAACCCATTACATTATTTTAACCTATCATTTCTGCTATTCAAATCAATTCAGATCAAACAGTTTATTCCCCCAGCAATTTTTTCGTTATACTATTCACATTATCCGCTATATTAAGTGCATTACTCTTCGGATGCATTATATTGAAGGTATTTTTTGCGTTTTAAGATTTCGATGCGTTTTGGCAAATTTTGTTATGATATGTATGCGTGAGCGTCATTTCTCTTAAACATACATACGCTTGCTTGCATGTGTGTTTTCAACGTAAAGACTTTCAATTTCAAAATGTATTTACATATCATGTGCAGGAGAAACTTATGGTACCGGTAGAACGAATCTTTACTGTCACATGTATAAGGGCTGCAAAATATTATATCGCATAAAGACGACGGTATATAGACAAAGAAGATTGTAATCATTTCCATGTTGACTGCAACAGTTTTTATTCCATGATTTTCGATTTTTGTCCGCTGGGGGGAGGATTAAATTCAAATTTTAGGATGAGCCTAATAAAAGTTAGCAAAGCCAGGCTTGATGTCATATCTGCTATGAACTGCTATTACCAAGCGCCTTACATCAACATCAAACGTTGTCTGTTGCCGTCTCAATTTTTGCGACGTTCAGTATGCCAACGGAACAAAGTAGTTCCTGTCAAAATTTTATGCCGACCAAGGGGAGAATATATATTCTATTTAGATAGTCTTTTGAATATTTCTCAAGTAAAAAAAAAATTTTTTTTTATTTTTATTCTTTTCGATATTTTAAATTCTTTATAAACCAAACCTATGCAAACATTACTTTGTGTTAATCAATAGCAACTAACTACTACTTGCTCGAACGTTCACATTCTCCAATAATGATATAAATAAATTTGTAATTTTTTTTATATTTTGCTTTAAATCCATCCGAATTCATTTTTTGCAAATTTTTTGCTTCTTTGCTTGTTTTGCGGAAAAAAAAAAAAACAACAACATCAAAAATATAGGTCAAATAAAATCCCTCCCTCACGATATGCAATAATATGCACCAAAAGTGCGCTGTATACACCTAAAAAAAAAAAAAAATGCATAACATATGTGACAATTCACTGCAGGCACTTGAACGCATTATACACTCGGCAACTACATTAAATATGATAGCATACATTAGTATTTTATGTGCCTTGTTATGTAAAAAATTTACCGGTACACTTTCTCCTCGCAGATTTTTCCTGTTTTTTTTTGTTTTTCGTTGTTTTGTTTTGTTTGCAATAATAAAATGACAATGATATTATTCATCACCAGCTAAGGCACATTATATATGTTCCATCCACCTATACTTTGTTATATGTACGTATGTACCGCAACAATAAAAACCTGTACCTGTATTCATGAGCCATGCATGGCTCAGTAATAATGCTTAGCTAAATAACAGTAAATGTATGACTTACTTAGCAGTGATGGTGGTCGTGGTGGTGGTGGTGGTGGTGGTGGAGGTGGTGGTAGCAGATCACAATTGTTTTAAGTGCATTTTATACATTTAGTTATTATTGTTGTCATTTAGCATTAACTACTAGTAGTGTTTGCGTAGATTTTTGAATATTTTTTTCTTGTTCTTCCTCCTAAAATGTACGCTTTTCAACATTTTTTTTTTTTTTTTTTTTTTTTTTGTATCCATATCATCATAAACTGTTTATTACATTACATATAATTTCTAATTTATGTAAAAAAAAAAAAATATTCAGTTATCAAGAAGAATTTCTTGTTATGTGAATATCTATCTATCTACAAATCCGATGGGGAGGGGGAAAAAATTGACAAGATTGACACTCGCATATGTTTGCATGGAAAAAGTTAACGCTTGATAAGGGAGAAGGTTATAAGTAATCTAACAAAGTTTATTGCTATTCGTACCATTGCTTAAGTTATTTATTTATTGAAGTGAGTCTCTTTAAATTAAGCATATGCGTCGGCATTTCGGATTTAGCCAATTGGAACATTTCTTTCCGCATGAAATTTTATGCCAATTAGCTAAAGACTAAAGTTATAATACATTGACTATTTCGTTTGTAGCACCGATGTGTACCCTTTATGTAGTTTAATCAACACTTTATAACGACCTTTTGAATCTCTTTGCCAAGCACAAAGTGACCAAGAGTGGCCGAGTAGGCAAGAGTCTCAACTGACAACTCAATGGTCGTGGGTTCAAATCTCAAGTACGGCAGGATTTTTAATAAAGCCGATAACCTCAGATGGTAGTGCATTAAGGACTTTAGTCTTAGAATTTATTCTCTAGATAAATTTAAAAAATAATAATAATAATAATGAAAAGCTAGCTCTAACTAACACTGGGAATTAAAGTTGATGCGCCATATTCAACCCTTTCTATAAATTTTCAGAGTACACTATAAGTACTTATAAGCCTCATCTTTCTACTTACCTACCATAAGTGCTAGGATTATTTGTACATTATTTTTAGGCCGAATACTTTTGATTTGATAAAACATTTTCACGATTACATGATCGTTAATCGCATACAATATTCAACAAATTTGTAATTGTTCCACTTTTACTCTCATACTTTTAGAATTCATGTTTAAATTTTTGCCTTTTATCTCATGCCAATGGAGGTTTATAAGTCCATTCTTTAAGCTCTCTTAATTAAATGTATCGATTATGATTATAGTTAGGTCAATAGTTTAAATATAAAAAAATAAATAAATAAATAAAAATTGTTACCAAGTGGCGAAAGAACGATATTGATTTGACAGAGTTCCAATTATCGACCCATTTTCGTACTTCTTCAACTTTAAGGAACTGCCTGCATCGATCTGAACAAGTGGCAATCAGAAGGCGCCATATATGTCGAGTAGGCTGGGTGTGGCTGATCTTTCTATTCGAGCTGTAGTAGGGCGTCCTAAAACAACTTTTGCAACAAGCAGCCAAAATGGCATTTTCACTCAATTCGTGTTGTAGCTACGTTTGTAGGGAGTTCATAACACACTACACCTTCCTTGTTGATTCCCACCATACGCACAGCATTACGTTATAGCCATGAATGCTGTTCCGCTTCGGTGTCGATGCGGATGGCACTTGGGATTGTCGTAGCAGATCCACCTTTCTTCGCCAATCACAATACGCCAAAGAAAACTATTCTTTCTTTACTTGGCATTGTTGAAACGGTACGAATTGGCATTTTCGGTCAATTTGTATGGTGGCCATTTTTCCTCCGTTTGGGATTTTTCCCATCGCATGTGAACGTCTAGGAACAGTTGCTACGTCAGTTTTTTGAGAGAGGGACTGCAATTCATTATCTTCGAACTTTTTTGGTCCTCTAGGCTGTTTTTTTGTCATTGACATTAAAAACAGGACTTTTTAATCATTGACATCAAGACTGCAACGTTATTATGAAGCTGATGATGAATGATGAGCTTCTTTGTCGACAGTAGATTCCTTCAAATTAAGCAAAAGAAAAAGTAATGCAGATCGAAAAGGCGATTTTGAACGTACCATGAACAGCATCGGCCTAGGCTGAATATCTCAATAAAACTAAATTGAAAACAGTTATTAGAAAAGAAAGAAAGAAAAGTGAAAATGAGCGAATTTAATCGCTTTGTACACTGTACACTTACCCATTTCTTTACAATTTTTACCTATAAAAAGTCACCTATCAAAATACATGCAGTTACCCCTAATAGTTAACGATTATTTTGAAATCGTGATTAGCAAGCATTCGCCTAAATTTCCTTTCCCGGGCGCGGTCATGTGGCAATGATGGCATCTTATTCGGCTAGGAATACTAAAAAGAAAACACTACTACCATATAAAGCAGAAGCTTGTACATTTTCAACAGCCTGTTTCACTTGAACAGCCAGCTACAAGTTATGAAGAATAGAGGAAAAGATATTGTTGCAAAAAAAAAAAAAAAAAAAAAAAAAAAAAA